AGACAATTAAGAATTAGAAAAAAATCAAGAATTCAAAGAGGAAATAAAACTCGTCACTCACTTTCAAAATTTCTGTCAAACCAAACTTGTTGTCAATGATAGTGTTCATCTGCGCATCAAGTATAGCCACACAAATCAGAAGTAAAAAGTTGGGGCAAGGCTGACCGGTCCATAGCACCTGAACAATATTTTGTTTATGATGTTGAGATACCGACACAGACTAAGAAACGATATCTGAACATAAGCAGGAACTTCACCAACCTCCCACAATTTGCAAGTGTCAGCAAATGAGAGCTCGCGCTTGAACCAAACTAGAATCCATCGGAAGCAGAAGTACATATCATCGGACTGGTGGCTCTCTGGAAAATTGAGATTCTCGGAAACCAAAAGTCAGAAATAAATGTTTGAGTTGCGAAAGGGGTGAAGGCATTAGGTCGCCGAAAGTGGGAGGTCCCGCCGGAAATCTGGAACAAATTACATTCCGACACACGCACAAGATGAGTACTTGCTGCATTGTCCGTGTGGGACCCTCCCACTTTCAGCGACCTAATGTCCTCCACCCTTGGGAGAATAATTAAAAAGCGCTTTGCCTTGTCAATTTATCAAGATTGGGAAACCAACAAAAGAGATTTGAGAGATCGATAGCTTTTTTGATATCAGATAACAGGCAAAATTCGACAAAAAAGAAAAAGATTATGCGGCAAGTGTAAGGGCACTTCATGATACTTACATGCTGAACGCCAAAAGGTATAAAAGATAGATTGAAGATTTACCCAAGTAATTTGCCAGTTGTGGGTTCACGATCATAACCAAATCACGCAGCTGATACATTTGCAGCTTGATAGCCGCTTGATCTTTCTCGAAATTGCGTTGCTGGAAATAAAAGTTTAACGAAACTCCCTCCACGAAGATGACCGATAAAAATACAGAAAGCGAACATTGACTTAAAACTCACAACTTTCTTCATCAGTTCCACAAAACACCAAAATGCATCCACTTCATTACCCATCACATAAAGCAGTGGTGAAGCAAAGTCACTCATGCCCTGCACGTAACCTGCAATGATCGAAATGATACTGATGTCTTCCTCAAATCACTTTGCGCGCATTGGCTACATTCTTACCGAGATCGAAATTATACATCACATAAGTCATCAGCATATTTTGCAACATTGTAAGATTAGGATTTGTATCTCC